GTGGAGAACGGAAGGATTTATATTCCTTGCAGTCATCCTTCCATAAATCCCATCAACATACATCCTTCCATTCTCCACCATTCCGTCAGAACCAAAGAAGCTTCTTGGATGAGAAGCGAAACATTTTCTAGCCAAACAAGAAAGTCCATTTGCCTTCTGGAAGAAAGTAAGTTCGAATCTCGCCAGGCTCAAGGTTGACTCAGCCTTCCATCCTTTCTAAGGTAGGTAAATTGAGGACCCAGTTTGTGGGGGCAATAAGCTGACTTTGTATAAATATACAAAAGTATGAAGGCTATTGCTTAATGCATTGTAAGCTGCCCTGAGTCTCCGGAGAAGGGCGGCATATAAATCAATTTAAAAAAAAAAAAACCCTCTTAGAACTGTGATGGTGAACCTATTGTCAAGTCAACATTGATTTGAGGCTCATGAATTAATTACCATATTTCTTGGAGTATAAAACACACCTTTCCCCCCAAAAAAAGAGGGTGAAAATCTGGGTGTGTCTTATACTCCAAATGTAGCCCAGCCCAGCTTCTCAAACGGAGGTTTCAGAGGCTGAAAAAGGCATCAGAAAGGAAGCTTCAGAAAAAAAACCCCAAACAGAGCTTCAGAAAAAAAACCCACAAACAGCTTCAGAAAAAAAGCCCACAAACAATTTAAGAAAAAAGCCTCCAAACAGAGCTTCAGAGAAAAAGCCCCCAAACAGAGCTTCAGAAAAGAAGCCCCCAAACAGAGCTTCAGAAAAAAAGCCCCCAAACAGAGCTTCAGAAAAAAAGACCCCAAACAGAGCTTCAGAAAAAAAGCCCACAAACAGCTTCAGAAAAAAGCCTTCAAACAGAGCTTCAGAGAAAAAGCCCCCAAACAGAGCTTCAGAGAAAAAGCCCCCAAACAGCTTCAGAAAAAAAGCCTCCAAACAGAGCTTCAGAAAAGAAGCCCCCAAACAGAGCTTCAGAAAAGAAGCCCCCAAACAGAGCTTCAGAAAAGTAGCCCCCAAACAGAGCTTCAGAAAAAAAGCCCCCAAATAGAGCTTCAGAAAAAAAAGCCTCCAAATAGAGTTTCAGAAAAGAAAAGAAGCCCCGAAACAGAGGCTTTTTTTCTGAAGCTGTTTCGGAGGCTTTCAGAGGCAGGAAAAAAAGTTTTTCCCGAAACAGAGTTTCAGACATTTCAGAGTCAAAAAAAAAAAAAGAAAAAAGCAAGGCACAGAGCTCACAACCAAGGAACCTGTTGCTAAAATTCACATCTGGGAACAGCTGATTGGGGGTATTCCAGGAGGCCGACCCACCCACCAATCAGCTTTTCTCTTATTTTTTTCCCCCAAAACTAAGGTGCGTTTTATACTCTGGGGCGTCTTATACTCCAAAAAATATGGTAGGGCATCTTTTAGAAACTTCGCACCTATGGCATGCATGCCAGAGGTGGCACACAGCTCCCTCTCTGATGGCACGTGAGCCGTCGCCCCAGTTCAGCTCTGCTGTGCATGTGCGTGCCTCTCCCGCCAGCCAGCCGGTCTTCGGGTCTCTGCCACACATGGGGGGGGGGAGGGGCGTGGGGGGGGCCGCGTGCATGGGGGCTGCGTGTGGATTGCATTTTGGGGGTTCGGACACGCTTTGGGCACTCGGTCCGGAAAAGGTTAGCCATCACTGTCTTAGAAAATACCGAAGAGGAAGAGAGCAGATGTAGAAATTCCTGCTCTGTAACACGATCCCGCGTAGAACAAAATCTAAAACTTAATGAGGCTTGAAAAAAAAAAAGAGAGAGACCCGGAAAAAGAATGCAGGGTGGGGGCGGAATTTTGGATCTGACCTTCTCTCCTTGCTCTGATCTCAAAGCCTTTGGAAGGATCCGATCTGGTAGCTTCCGGCAGGATTAAAACACGCTTCTTTATTTAAGATAAATCCCGCCACCCCCCCCAACCCCCCCCCCCCCCCCCCCCCAAGGAATTGTGCTCCCGTTTCTAACCCTGTGTGTTAAAACGATCTGGGTAGGATCAGCCTGAATTTGATGACTCCCCTGATTGTAAACCCTGATTGCCGTCCATGCTGTCTGGAACTTCTGGGAATGGTAGTTCAGTAATTTGGAAGATCAACTGTGCCTCTCCCTGCTGGAGAAAGGCTAAATCTTGGCTCGCCTAATTCCCTTTTAACACTCTGCTTCTTACTTCAAGAAGCACCTAACCCAGATAGTTTTAACACAGTGTTAGAAACGTGGGCACAATTCTTTAAGGAGGGGGGGTTAGTTTAAACCAGGGGTGTCTAACCCAAGGCCCGTGGGCTGGATCCCACCCACAGGGGTGGGTGGGGGGTGGGATTGCTTAGATCTGGCCAGTGGGGCTGGCCTGGAAACAGCAAAGGACCAGCCTGCGGTGCCTCAGTTTTTTGCGGACAGAAGGCTAGCAAAACAAACTAAAAACATAACAAAAAGAGAAATGTTTCTCCCTTTTGCATTTGAAAGGGAAAGGGAAAGAGGAAAGATCAAGAAAAAGAAGATGGGAAGAGAGCAAGGAAGGAAAAAAATAAGGAAAGAAGGGAAGGAAGAAGAAAGGAGAATGAAGAGGGAAGGAAAAAGAAGAAAAGGAAGGAAGGGAGGGAGGAAGGAAGGGAGGGAGGGAGGGAGGAAGGAAGAAAGGAGGGAGGGAGGGAGGGAAGGAAGAAAGGAGGGAGGGAGGGAGGGAGGGAAGGAGGAAGGAAGGAAGGAAGGAAGGAAGGAAGGAAGGAAGGAAGGAAGGAAGGAAGGAAGGAAGGAAGGAAGGAAGGAAGGAAGGAAGGAAGGAAGATTTCTTGTTTATTCAGACTTTTCCTAAAATCATCACACTTCAATTTTTGGTTGCATGTTCTTTGTGTCTGAATGGTTTACAGAGCTAGGTTTTCCAGTGTCTAGATCAGGCGTGTCCAACCTTGGTGATATTAAGACCTGTGGACTTCAACTCCTAGAATTTCCCAGCCAGCAACTCTTTTAATGCTTTTAATATTCCATTTGGATTTATATTATTGCTATTATAATATACCGTATTTTTCAGACTATGAGACACATCGGAGTATAAGATGCACCAAGATTTCGAAGAGGAAAAGAAGGAAAAAATAGCTTTTGGCCTCCCCGGACCCCAGGAGCACTCTGCAGGCCTCCCAAATCCTCTGTGCGCCCCATTTTTTGCAAAAACGGGGCGCGCAGAGGATTTGGGACGCCTGCTGAGTGCTCCTGGGGGCCAGGGAAACCAATAATGTGACGTGTTGGGGGGAGGGGAGGTGTTGGGAGGCCAAAAATGGCTGTATTTGGTGTATAAGACGCACCAATATTTCCACTCTCTTTTAGGGGGGAAAAAGTGCATCTTATACTCCGAAAAGTACGGTATCCTCTTTTACTCTTGCAAAATTGCTCTTTGCAAAATGATGTTGATTATTTTCTGATAGTCACCCAAATGTTATTTGGGGGAAAAAAAAGTGACACAGAACAAGGGTAAAACAACATTGAAGAAACAGCCACATGTTTCTTAAAAAAAGGTTAAACCTAGGAGATAGGTGATAAGATCGTTTTATTAGATTAAATAGATACTTAATAGGCTATATAATTCTTTATAATTTTGAAAAAAAACAGGCCAATTGTTTTGTAGATAATTAGAAGAACTTGATTTTATTGAAATGTTTGGTTAGGATGATATTAGTTAATATTAATTGGAGAGTGAGCTTAACTCTCGGTTAGTCATGTTTGTTGTTTCGTTTTAGTCTTGTGTTTATTTGTTCCTACATTTTATTTCTTATATTGTTTTCCAATCATTATTATGTGTTAATTTTACTGTAAACATTTAGTAAAGATAGTTAAAAAAAAAGAAAAGAAAAGAAACAGCCACATGTATCGGTGTGCGAGGAAAGAACCCTGAGATCGCGTGTGAGGAAGAGAAGAACTATTGCCACAATAAAAAAAATAAAGAATATCGCATGCTTTCTAGCAATTGTATCACTCCCAGGTGTTGAAAAGCAATCAACATATAAAACGTTAGCCTTTTCAAATAAGCACTGAAATTATGCATTGGACATCGCCAAGCTTCCATCAATCTGTGTGATTCTGTCACCTCGTGCAGGGGTGGGCTTCAAAAATTTTAGCAAGGGGTACTCTGCCCAGTTGCCGGATAGGCCTCTTGCATCATGGTGGCGGCGGGGGGGATTTTTGCCCTCCCCGGGCTCCAGAGGTTTTCCTCGAGTCTCCGAGAGGGCGAAAACGGCCTCCCCAGGCTCCAGGGGCTGTCTAGAGGCTGCAAACAGCCCCATTTCTGGCCTTCCCGAACTTCCGGTAGGTCCGTTTTTCACCCTTCCCAAACCTCCCTGCATGCCCTGCACTTACCTGCATCCAAAACGGGCTGTGTGGGGACTCCTGAGAGGGGTGGGGTGGGCGGGGCCAGCCAGGAGTCGGATTTGGGGGTTCTCCGAACTGCACAGAATCTTAGCTAGAGGTTCTCCCGAACCCCTGCGAACCCCCAGCAGTCCACCCCTGACCTCGTGTCATGAGGCAACATGACAAACAGTTCAATACAAGTAGTCCTCGACTTAATGACCAGTTTCTGTTGCTAAGCGAGACAGTTATTAAGTGATTTTTGCCCCATTTTACATTTCTCGCCACAGTTAAGGGAATCACCGCAGTGCTTAGGTTAATAACCCGGTTGTTAAGTGAGTCTGGCTTCCTCCATAGACTTTTGCTTGTCAGTAGGTCGCAAAAGGGAATCACACATGACTTTGGGGACACTGGAACAGTCATAAGTATGAACCAGTTGCCAAGCATCCGAGTTTTGGTCATGTGAGGATGTTGCAATGGTCTAAAGGGTGAAAAACGGTCATAAGTCACTTTTTGTGGTGCTGTTGTAACTTTGAACTAAATGAACTGTTTAAGTGGAGGACTACCTGTAGAAAAGTAAAAAAAAAACAAAAAACCTGAATAATTTTTTTAGGATACAGTTAGGAAAACAAAAGGCAAAAAATGGGAAAAACAGGTGACAAGCCCCTCCATTTTACCTGCGCTCGGATCAGAGATTCAAAACTGGGCTTGAAATAATCGATGCGGCTGCTGTAAAACTTGGGCATCTCTTCCAGAAGTTGCTTGTTCTTGGCCTCAAAGTCGTCTTTCACTGGCCTCAGTTCTTCTCGGGCCTGGAAGAAACCCGAAAAGAAGGTGTGAAGAGGAGAAGAAGATCTGAAAATGTTGTCCTTCAGCTCCCCTTGAAAGGTTGTCCTCCTTGGTTAGTTCCTTCCGCGCTGGGCATAGATTGTAAATAGAATAGAATAACAGAGTTGGAAGGGATCTTGGAGGTCATCTAGTCCAACCCCCCAAGGTGGCTGGATGGAGTCCCTGAAGCAGTCGGCGTGACCTTCAATGGACTCCAGAGGATGGTAGAGGACAGGAAGGCCTGGAGGAACGTTGTCCATGGGGTCGCGGTGGGTCGGACACGACTTCGCAACTAACAACAACAATAGACATTTCTCAGTCTACTCCTCACTGAAACTCTCATAGTGTTAGTTGTGAGAGGGCATCACATCAACTTTGTGTTCTTTTCTGACACACACCTTCATCTGCGCAAAGTTCTAGAACCGGCATCCAAATGTTTCCTTTCAGCCCCCAAAAAACCCCCCTCACAGTTGTTGTTATTATGATTATTTTTGCACGCTCTGTGAATGCTCTTTAATACCTGGTGTAGCTTGGTCAGGATGGGCCCCGTTTTCTCCTTTTCTTCATACTTCTCCACCTTGGATTGCAGCCGTTTGTAATCTTGTAGGACTTGCTCGCGACGCTTTACCGCCATATTTAGACTGGGGAAGACACCGCTGAATCTGTGGGGATTTAAAAAAAAAAACAAACAAAAAACGATTTTGATATTCTCCATACCGTATAGTATTTAAGGTTAATTCTTCACTGACAACTTTTTTTTTAATTTTTTTGAGGAACAAAAGCTGAATACTAATTGATTGATTGATTGATTTGATTTGATTTGATTTATATGCCGCCCTTCTCCGGAGACCCAGGGCGGCTTACAATGCGTTAAGCAATAGCCTTCATACTTTTGTATATATTTATACAAAGTCAGCTTATTGCCCCCATAATCTGGGTCCTCATTTTATCTACCTTTGAAAGGATGGAAGGCTGAGTCAACCTTGAGCCTGGGGAGATTTGAACCTGCAGTAATTGCAGGCAGCTGATGTTAATAACAGTGCTTTAGTCTGATGCGCCACCATTTTACTACAGAAGAAATAAGTTTTTCCTCTTATTTTTTTCTCTCCTAGGATCTCAGACACTGGGAGTAATCTGTGTCCTTCCCTCTTACGCATAAAACTACCTACTTAAGATAGTAGTTGGCTCAAGCTGACTTACAGGAAACATGGATGCCAATCAGGGGTTTTAAACAATGGGTTTTCAGCATGTTCCAGAATAATCTATAGCGTGTTGCTTCTCAGGATAAATAAAAGAACCACGGGAAACCCACAGAATGGATATTTATCTGGCACGGAAAAATTTCCTGCCACTGCGAAACTTCGGCATCGTTGTTTTCACAAATCGAGTGGATGTTTCCCACAATTTTTCTCAATTGCACCCATTTTGACAAGTCGGTTCAGGAAACGGCGCTCCGTTCTAGCCACAAAATCAAATCAAGGGCAATTTAAGGATGCTGTTTGTTTGGTGTTGAATATCCTCCAACCCCATCAATTACCATCAAAGGCACATGTTTTCCTTTAGGCCAACAGGCGCTGCAACCATTCCTTTTATAACACATGTTATAAAGCAAAAGGCAAGATAACATATGAGCTGCAAGGAATGCCATTTTAAATAGGGTGAAAGGTAAAGGTTTCCCTCGCACCTATGCGCTAGTCGTTCCCGACTCTAAGGGGCGGTGCTCATCTCCATTTCAAGGCGAAGAGCCAGCGCCGTCCGAAGACGTCTCCGTGGTCATGTGGCCGGCATGACTCAATGCCAAAGGCGCACGGAACGCTGTGACCTTCCCACCAAAGTGGGAGGCTATTGGTGCTACCACCAATAGCCTCTCACCGGCCAGTACGCTCCCATAGAGAGGGGCTCCTCCGGGTGCCGTCGGCCAAACAATGTCGGCTGGCGGCCCCCAGGGGGAGAGCCTTCTCTGTGGGGGCACCTACGATCTGGAACGAGCTCCCCCCGGAGATACGGAGGATCCCGGATCTTCGCACCTTCCGTCGCGCGCTTAAAACGTTTTTATTTCATCAAGCTGGCCTGGCCTAAATCATCTCCTCTTTTAAATTTAAATTTTAAACATAAATTTTTAATCTGTTTAATTATGGGGTATTTTAAAATTCAGCCTAAATTATTTAATTTGTTTTAATTTATTTTAGATTTTGTATTTCCTGTGTTTTATCTTCTGGCTGTTCACCGCCCTGAGTCCTTCGGGAGAAGGGCGGTATAGAAATTTAATAAAATAAATAAAATAAAAATAAAAAGTGGTCCCTATTTTTTCCACTTGCATTTTTTATGTGCTTTCGAACTGCTAGGTTGGCAGAAGCTGGGACAAGTCACGGGAGCTCACCCCGTTACACGGCGCTAGGGATTCGAACCGCTGAACTGCCGACCTTTCGATCGACAAGCTCAGCGTCTTAGCCACTGAGCGTCCCTTTTAAATAGGGTTAGGTGCCTTTAAAAAAAAACAAAAAAACCACCATCAGCCAGGGTGTGAACGAAGCAGGCTTGTCCCGAAAAAGCATAGCAGGTCATAAATATTAATCTTGCCTCATTCAGGGATGGGGCCTATAACAGGCTGCATTGTTTGTCCGGGGAGGGAGACTCATCCCTGACACAATGAGCTATTAAGCAGCCCATTAGCTGCAAACAGGAGCCAGATTAATAATCCTTGCATAATTCTGGATGGATGCAGAGGTGGCAGAGAAGTACAAATATGTTACGGCTGCCGAAACCGCCAAAAAAAAAAAAAAAAGGATCTCAGCCAATCTTTCTCAACTTCAAATCTTTCCAACTATGGTTTCCATTAACGCACTGAGTGTGTGGCCATTAGCCCGATCTCGTGAAATTCAATTAATTGGTTTAGTTCTGGAAGACAAGGCAACGAGATAAAGGTAAAGGTTCCCCTCGCACATATGTGCTAGACGTTCCCGTTGTTCTTCCGGGTTCTGGTGAGCCAGCCAGCTGATCTTCATGTGTGCGGGAGCACCGGAAACTGGAATAGCAGCATGCACGTGCCTGGAAGATGATTTTCTGGGTTCCGGCATATGCATGCGCCCCGGACAGCTGGTCTTCACGCACGTATGTGCGCCAGAAACTGGAAGATCAGGGGGCCGGGGCGCATGTGTGCGCTGGAAACCAGAAGATCATCTTCCCGGCATGTGCATGTACACCGGGCGGCTGCTCTTCTGGTTTGCGGCACGCACATGTGCACCAGCCAGCTGGTCTTTGTGTGCGCATGCGCACCAGAAACTGGAAGACCAGCTGGCTGGTGCGGATGTGCACGCCGGAAACCGGAAGATCATCTTCAGCAGCACTTGGCGACTGCTCTACCGGGTTCCAGGGCGCACAAATGCACACCTGCTCCCGTTTCGGCGCTCGGCACAAAAAAGGTTTGCCAACACTGCAGTATACAAAGCAGCTCCCTGTTCGGACCGGATCACCCGATCCGGTAGCGATGGCGGCAGATGGTTCGGAGAACCGGTAGCAAAAATCCCTCCCCCCCCGCCCCCATGCCCAGCTGAGCCGCGCGATCATCAGAGGCTTTTTTAAAAAAAATTTGAAAGCATTTTTTCTACAACCTCTTCAGCCGAAAAAAATGCTTTTCGCGCGGCTCAGCTGGGATCGTCAGAGGCTTTTAAAAGCATTTTTTTCTGCAACTTCTTCAGCCGAAGAGGGTGTAGGAAAAATAAATGCTTTTAAAAGCTTCTGACGATCTCAGATGAGTGGCCTGATGGGCAGAGGCTTTTTTTCCTTTTTAAAAGCCTCTGCCGATCAGGCAACTCAGATGGGATCGTCAGAGGCTTTTAAAAGCATTTTTTTTTAGGTTGTAGAAAAAATGTTTTTAAGAGAAAAAAAGCCTCTGCCGATCAGGCAACTCAGCTGGCATCGCCAGAGGCTTTTAAAAGCATTTATTTTACATCCTCTTCGGCCGAAGAGGTTGCAGAAAAATATGTTTTTGAAAGTAAAAAAAAAAAAAAAAAAAAAGTTGGGCCACCCCCACCCAGTCACATTACCCCACCACCATCAAACCACGTCCACAGAACTGGTAGTAACAAACTGTAGATTTCACCACTGATACAAAGCAACGGAATGCAGAGAATATATATGTTCTCAAGAAGATTGCCCTCTGAAAATGAAATTTCCCAGAAAATTTGCTCTTAGAATTCCACAGCTGGAGTTATAAATAATAATAATAATAATAATAAAAACCCATTAATAAGGCTCTTACTGAGCCTCTATAATGCGGAGATCTAAGTATATCAAACATTATGCTAACAGTTCCCCCCCCCTCTCCCAACTCCTTCCCACTTCTTTGCTGGTACACCATGTTGTGCTCTTAGCTATTTCAAAAGCTGCTGCGCCATAAAAACTAATCTATAAAACCGACTCACCTGTAAATACTCTGTACGAAAGACATTAACAGCGGGAAAGGTAACACAGTATTATTTAACACAAAGAGCTATTGACATTGGCTTCTATACTTAGATTTCCACAGTGGCGAGAAGGACTTTGATTTCACAGACTAACTACAGGACCCATGCTGAGCTACCGTTGCTATAGATTTATACCATGCTGCAGATTTAAGGCCTATGAAAGACTATGAAAGAGTCCTGCTGCATATATGCACGTAGATTGCCCCGGCTTTTTCTTTTATGTTAATTTAATTTTTCCCCCCTTCCTTTTTGTGTCGTTAATGGAGAGACTGATGGAAGCAGTTAACTAGCACGCTAGCAAGAAAGGGGTAACTATACACTCTTCTTACTAATGCCGTAGCTTTCTAAGTGTTGAGAAATGATCTGCAAAGAATGTGATTTCATCTTAAGAGTCCTCACCTATAGTCTGAATCTCATCAAAAGGCTTCAAATGCTTGCTTGCTACTTTCACTAGCCATTGTTTAACAGATTAACAGAGGTGGAAGGGAACTCGTAGATCATCTATTCCATTAGAATAGACTAGAATTCTTTATTGGCCAGGTGGGATTGGACACACAAGGAATTTGTCTTGGTGCACACGCTCTCGGTGTACATAAAAGGAAAGATACGTTCGTCAAGAATCATAAGGTACAACACTTAATGATAGTCATAGATGAGCCTTGGTGGCGCAGCGGACTAAAGCGCTGTTAAGTAGCACTTAGCTGCCAGCTGCCTGCAATTACTACGAGTTCAAATCTCACCAGGCTCAAGGTTGACTCAGCCTTCCATCCTTCCGAGGTAGGTAAAACGAGGACCCGGATTGTGGGGGCAAAAAGCAGCAAAAGTGAACCAGATATACATTTAAGTCTAAATCCTGTCTAAATCAGAGAAAAATTGAGACCATATATGCAACATCAGACAAGCCTGAAAGGTGTTGAAAATTGCATGTGGGGCTGATGTGAGTTAAGATGCCAGTCGCCCAGGCCATGTCACAGATTCATAATAATGCATTCATTATGCACTCTGGGCTGGGGTGAAGGGTTTTTATTTATTTATTTATTTATTTATTTATTGGTTCGATTTATATGCCGCCCTTCTCCGGAGACTCAGGGCAGCTTACAATGCGTTAAGCAATAGCCTTCATACTTTTGTATATACCTGCTTAGTAGGGCCCCCCCCTAAGCAGTGTTCTTTTTTTATACAAAGTCAGTTTATTG